TTCATTGTGCCATTCAAAACATGTGCCATGTATTCAACCATGGTTAGATGCAAGTAGTTAGGAGATATGCACCTTTCTTTATTGTGCCATTCAAAACATGTGTCATGTACTCAACCATGGTTAGTTGCACGTAGTCAGGATATATGCACCTTTCTTTAATGTGCCATTCAAAACATGTTCCATTTATTCAACCATGGTTAGTTGCAAGTAGTTAGGAGATATGCACCTTTCTTTATTGTGCCATTCAAAACATGTGCCATTTATTCAACCATGGTTAGTTGCAAGTGGTAAGGTGATATACGCCTTTCTTTATTGTGTCATTCAAAACATGTGCCATGTATTCAACCATGGTTAGATGCAAGTTGTTGGGGGATATGCACCTTTCATTATTGTGCCATTCAAAACATGTTCCATTTATTTATCCATGGTTAGATGCAAGTAGTCAGGAGATATCACCTTTCTTTATTGTGCCATTCAAAACATGTGCCATGTACTCAACCATGGTTAGTTGCAAGTAGTCAGGAGATATGCACCTTTCTTTATTGTGCCATTCAAAAGATATGCTATGTATACAACCATGGTTAGTTGCAAGTGATTAGGAGATATGCACCTTTCTTTATTGTGCCAATCAAAAATGTTCCATTTATTCAACCATGGTTAGTTGCAAGTAGTTAAAGTAGTTAGGAGATATGCACCTTTCTGTATTGTGCCATTCAATACACGTTCCATTTATTCAACCATGGTTAGTTGCTAGTTGTAAGGAGATATGCACCTTTCTTTATTGTGCCATTCACAACATATTCAATTTATTCAACCATGGTAAGTTGCAAGTTGTAAGGAGATATGCACCTTTCTTTATTGTGCCATTTGAAACATGTTCTATGTATTCAACCATGGTTAGATGCAAGTAGTCAGGAGATATGCACCTTTCTTTATTGTGCCATTCACAACATGTGCCGTGTATTCAACCATGGTCAGTTGCAAGTGGTATGGTGATATGCACCTTTCTTTATTGTGCCATTTAAAACATGTTCCCTGTATTCAACCATGGTTAGTTGCAAGTAGTCGGGAGATATGCACCTTTCTTTATTGTGCCATTCAAAACATGTGGCATTTATTCAGCCATGGTTAGTTGCAAGTAGTCAGAGATATGCACCTTTCTTTATT